CGCCCTTGGATAAAGACGTCCTTGGTATCGGGTACGTCTGGCTGGCCTGGTGCTTTGGAAGTGAAGTGTTGGAGTGGMGAGCGAGGTGCCTTGAGTTCGGTTTGGAGTGTTCCGAGCTGCCACGGGTCAGCTCGGGTCAACTTTGTGAGGCTTGGGGCCCAGTACAGTTCGTGCTCCTTGCAGGGAGCTCGGGTTCTCAGGAGGGGGCTCGCTCTTATCAGGGAGCTCGGGCTCCTAGTAGGGAGCTCAGGTTTTAGGGAGCTCGGACCTTTGATAGGGAGCTCGGGCTCCTAGTAGAGAGCTCGGATTTAGGGAGCTCGGGCTCCTAGTACCGAGCTAGGACTTAGGGAGCTCGGGTTTTAGGGAGCTCGGACCTTTAACAGGGAGTTCTCTCTTAACAAGGAGCTCGGACTAAGTACAGCGGTCTGGAGTTCGGGCTCGGTAGTGAGTTTGGACTTGCTTCTGATGTTCGCTTTGGGTGCTCTACTGTCCCGAGCTGCTTGCCTTTGCCACGTGTCGGGCGATCGCGAGGTCAGGCCAAATTTCCCTTCATCAATTTCAATGGAGGTGAAAACGAAGATAGGAGTCAATGGGGGGAAGAGGGAGATATCTCCGCTTCCGTCACTGTGCGCCAGTGAAGAGGATTGAAGGTGATACGTTGTAGATTTTCCGGCAAAGACGTTCAAGCTGTTAGACGGAGGTGAAAACAAGGGTGAGAGTGAACCGGGGGGGAGGAAAGGGAAATTACCACTCACGTGTGAAATGAGCATTTTGGGTATTTCAGAATATGGGGTGAATTGAAGTGGCATTTCTCGATGGGCATTTTAGGTATTTTTGAAAATATAAATGACATGGCATTTCTGTAGGTGGGCCAGTGGAGTGAATTGAGTTTTAATATCCCCATTCGTGGAATGAAGATATTTCAATTCTTGTACACCGCTGTCCATGATAAATATTTCTACGGGTGCCTGGTGCGTAAATTCTCCTTTATAAGTTTGTCTAGATCCGCTAAATAGTAAATAATGTTATATATAGTCCAGACCTCTTTCATCTACATGTAATTTACACTTGGTACGTCATTGCTTCAATCATCGGTGCCACAAACAAGCTCCTTGGATAACACATTCATTAGAATGCTCACTAGAATATGCTCACACTGTTCTTACAACCTTTCATAGCTGTGCATTGAAATATTTCTCTATTTATATGTTTTTTTTTCATGGGGATATATTCCTAATGCAAGGCTGTAAAGACTGCAAATGATGTAAACACCACTGAAGCTGATTTTCATTTATCACATTCATTCTAACTTAACTTCTTTGTACATACCTTCATAAGCACGATGGTGTCATTGGCGTTTGATTATGAAGACGACAAATAGACAATACGCTGAATGGTGAGTGATGAATCTGAATCTGCTAACCACAACACATTACTGGTCAAGTTCATCCAATCGCACATTTAAAATTATTGGTGATATAAAATACAATATATGTTCTTATTTCTTAATGTGCGACTGGGTGAATGTGGTCAACAGATATGAACTCACGAGTGACAATAACAAACTTCCACCAAAGCCCCAATGTGAACCAATTTATTAATTCTAATAAATCTCGGAATCTATTTATAATTTTATATATGCTTCAGAATACAATTACAAAACAGTCCTGTAAATTCAAATTATCTTGGAAATTCTCTATTATACATGAAGAATGAATCTTACTAAAAAAATAGTGTTTCTTTCCCAAGCCTACCAAATCCAGCTTTCCCGTAATTGCATTACCAGAAAATAAATACATACAAGCATACCAAGAACAAAGCTAATCCTGCAATCGAGAAAACTAAAAGCAGGGTGCTTCGTTAAATTTAAATTTGCAAAGCACCGATTCAAATTCAAATCTCCCCGGAACTCTCAAAGCTGAAAGTAAAAAATGAATAAAATAACTCAACTCTTACATATCAAGCAAGCCAACAAAACATCAGTCTCACTCTGAAAACAAGGGAGGAAAAAAAAATAAAGATTCCGCCAACAAGATGCACCAACAACAGAAATTAAGATGAACCGTTTTTACCTCTCAATCTTCGATTACAATCCCAGATCAAATTCTAGGTCCTCTATTGAATCAAGGGCTCTTGAAGGAAAACTTAGGCTTGATTAGTTGCGTTGCTCTCAGCAGTGGTGTTTCGCCAAATCTGAGAGCATGGAGAGCTCTTTGCTCCTTGGATGGCAAACGGTTGCCTTCATTAATTCATTTTTCTCACATATTGCACAATGCACACTGATTCTTTGTGACATTTTGAACTTGGGTTTAACGCTTATGGTGTTTGGTTGCAGTGCAATTTTATTTGCACTAGTACAAATGTATGGGAGTGCAAATAAAAAAAAATGCAAATTTTGGTTTAATTTTGTTTTAGGTTTTACTTTTTTCTGCTTTAGGTCTTATTTTACTTTATTTTTAATGCAAGTAAACAAAGGTAAAATTTGAAGCAAAACAAATCAAAACTTGCAGCTAAATCTTTTGCACTATTATAATTTTGCATCAGTGCACATTCTTTGCACTGCAACCAAACACAGCCTATAAGTAAACTTTGTATTGGTTTCTCAAATGTACATAAAGATTCTTGAGGGAACTGAACAATAAAAACCCCAAAAATAACAAGCATCCTTAAACTTGCCCTCTAAAAATGATTCAAATCGTTCACCAGTTGATTCTGCTGATGTAGCTGCTTTTTTTTTTTTGGTTATGTAAAACAAAACAAAACATGATGCCGAACGCCCCCTAAATGAACCCGTCTCAACAGTTGTTGATGGTTCAAAGTCCAATTTCAATATAGTAATCATTTTTATAGGCCTTTTGGAAATTTTCCATCCTCCAAGATCAATCAATCAAATGAATACAGCCAAAAGGAACTACGAGGATTCTTTTTAATTTTCATGGTTGAGGATGCTTACGAAGTTAATTCCGTAACCGTAACTCAAGAGTCGAGAAAAAGTTACACGATTGGGACCAGGCGATATGCAATATAAGGATGTTTGGAACGTTTTTGGTTTCGTTTTCAGGCTGGTTCCAAAACCAGAAACACGTTTTATCTGTTCATGGAGTGTGTCGTCCATGGTTGTAGCCTTGTAGGACTACAAATGGATCAAAGTCACAACGGGCATCTTCGTTTGACCTTGAGCTTTCCTCATGCTAAATTGCTAACTTGACAAATTTAAAAGAAAAAAAAAAAACAATTTACAAGCACAAGATGTTCATCAATGACCATATGCACAGACGTAGCTGTATTTTACTTCTTTTTTTTTTTGGGGG